GTCGCTGCCAGACCCTCCGCGCCGCCTGCTTCGGTGCGGAGGAACAATCACTGAAGAAAGCTTCGTGACGCTTGTCCTCGCCGGGCTCGGGCCAGAATGGAGAACCACACGCTCGCTTCTTCGCACCCACGGAAGGATCTCGGAGATGCACCTCTACGCCGAGCTTCATGCTGAACAACAGGAGATGGACCTGTTCGAAGAAAGACAACCAAGGAAGCAGCAGCAGTTAGTCTTCTACACTCAACGAAGGAACAACAACAACTACAATCGACGCGGCAAGCAAGATCAACGCGACAACAGAGGAATCACCATCGTACTGCCGTTCTGCCACAACTGTCAAACATCCGGACATTCCAAAGTCAACTGCACACGTCCTCGTGTTTATCGTCCAGTAGACCCACAAGTCGCTTCCACTCAAGAAAGCCCTCCAAGGCGTTCTTCCGCATCTGCACAAGGGACACCGAACATCATCAACTGCATGGTACACATCGACAACTGTGCACCCGGATCACCACCCACTTACGCGCCAGACGAAGAAGAACTCCCGCCGCCGCGCTCACAAGGACTTCAGGTCAACCCGACATACGCTGCGGTCGCCAACGCCGAACCCACCGGGCGAAACACCTGGTTCTTGGACAATTGTTGCGGTCAACACATGTGCTCCTCCGGACGCTTCGTGCAACGAGAGCGACGCCTCAACCGCGACGTCATCATCACCGTCGCCAACAACGAGAACCTGAAAACAAACAGACAAGGGGTGGTTCAGTTACAATCCATGGAAACCAATGTCATCCTGCAACTCAACAAGGTCCTAATCGTCGACAACTTGGGATACAACCTGCTAAGCATCAGCCAGCTAATGGCAAAAGGGGTTCCCCTGGAGTGCGACTCGGACTCCAACGAGTTTCGCCTTTACCACGGGAAGGGAGGCCTCTTCATCGGTCGAGCTCTCCTGAAGTCTGGCGTCTTCGTGTTGGACTTCGTCCCCGACCGCGGTACTGCCGACAGCGATGGGATCGTGTCGTTCGCCGCCTGGACACACCCGCCAGATCTTGACCCCGACTTCAACCCCGATGGATTCTGGTACTCCAACACAATACCTGCAGCAAAGAGAACACGAGCGTTAGCAGTCATCAGACAAGAAAGACAAGTGCCAGCAAGTGTCCCTTCCCAACCATCACCTACAGTAGCAGCAGCAGGACCCAGCCGAGTACCACCACCAGCGATCCGAGGACCGCCAACCGAAGCAGATCAACTTATGCCCATCACACGACAAGTCTACCGAAGTCCCGCCACGGTCGTCGCGTTCTTCTCCAACACCGACATATACCACCGCTCGCCCGGCCATCGCGCTCCCGACGACATCTGGCACCAACGCCTCGGTCACCCTGCAAACAGTACAATACTACAAACCATCCAAGCCGAAGTGTTAGAAAGAAACGCTCTCCTTACAACGAGCGGCCAAGAACTTCGACGACCACGCGCACGATGCTTTACGTGCCCCGAAGCCGATCTTCCCCACCAGCCTTTTCCATCCCATCACAACCCAAGCGCACCTGCATACGCACTGCTGGAAAAAGTCTACAGCGACATTTTAAACATGCCTCGAGAAGACACTGAAGCCGACTTCAACTATGTCATCACGTTTATCGACGCAGCAACGAGATACGTCTGGCACTACAACCTCAAGACGCGCGATCAAGCCTTCGACGCCTTCCCGATATGGCTCCCCATCGCCGAACGAGAATCAGGAACCAAGCTCAAGAGCTTCCAGTCAGACGGTGCACTGGAATACCAGTCACAACGCTTCAGGACCTATCTGGCGGAAAGTGGAATCAGACGCCTGGTGTCTCTTCCCTACGCTCACCAGCAGCAGGGGGTCGCAGAACGCATGAACCGGACCTTGCAGACGACGATGCGAAAGCTGCTCCTGGGGATGAGACTGCCCAACACACTGTGGCCAGACGCGATGACACATGCAGTCCACCTGCACAATTTGCTATCCTCGTCATCGCTTCCCAACAACGCATCACCGCACCTGCTGTGGACATGAAAAAGGGGCAGCACAAAATTACTTCGAGTTTTCGGCTGCATGGTACAGTACAGACCTCACACAGCCCGAGCAGGACGCTTCACTCAACGAGCTCGGTGGGGTCTACACCTCGGCACCACCAAACATTTTCACGCATGGAAAATCCTCGACATACAAGACAAAAATACGGTGGCATCACGTGATGTTATCTTCTACGAGCGACTGACGCTGCAGCATTACCTGGACAACATTGCCAACACACAAGACCCCACCGACGGCCTCGCGGGCCTTCGTTCCTTCGCCGACCGTGCTGCCGAAGCTGACGCAGCAGAAGAAGATGTACCTGGAGCCTCGGAGGCTGCAGGACCACTCCCTTTCTGTTCCGTACCTGTTCCACTCGACGAAGACAATCCTCTCGATAGCAACAACCTCGACACCTTTTACCACTTCGCTGACCAAGGTTACGCTACACCTCACCCGGTCGACACGAATATCTCAGAACGCATCGGCCCCAACTTCTTACCTGATCCAGAAGATGGTGACGAAGCAGCCTATTCCGGGAATGAAAATTCCCCTCGACACACACCCACGGGACTGCAGATACTCGGCTTATGGGGGTCCGTCCAGCACCTGCCGCCGCCATCTCCGCGCGAGCCCTCGACTCTGTCGCAGGCTCTGGGGGGCGAACATAAGGCGCAATGGAAGGAGGCAATGGAAAAGGAACTGAAAGCTCTGCAAGACCGAAATACATGGAAGCTGGTACCTGCAACGAACGTCAACGGGAAGAACGTTCTCTCGGGAAAAATGGGTGTACCGCATTAAGACCAATGCAGACGGCTCCATCGAAAGATTCAAGGCTCGTTGGGTCGTACGAGGATTTGATCAACGATACGGAACCGACTACACAGAAACATTCGCCCCAGTCTTTCGTCACACCTCCTCGCGCATCCTACTCGCCGTCGCGGCCACAAAGAAACTACCACTGCGCCAGATCGACGTCGCAAACGCCTTCCTGTACGCACCTGTGGACGCCGAAATCTTCGTCGAGCAGCCCCACGGATTCATCGACGACTCCACAAAAGTATGCCAGCTGATAAAATCCCTTTACGGGATCAAGCAAGCCCCGAGGCTCTGGCAGCAGCATCTTCACGGTTGCCTCGTCAGAATCGGATTCCTACAGCTGCCGCATGACCAAGGCATGTACCGACTGCAGAAGGGAAGAGAGTATATCCTACTCATTGTTTACGTCGACAACCTGCTCTACATTGGCTCCACTACCAACATCGCCACCTGGTTCGAAGGGGAGCTGAAAGGGGACTTGACACTCACGGTGTCCGACACAGTGACCCAGTACCTGGGTCTGAATGTCGTCGAAGACAACTCGGCGTTCTACCTACACGCTGGGAAGTACGCAGGCGCTGTCGCAAAGAAGTTCGGACTAACACCAACTACAGTCACGACTCCCTACCGCTACGGGAACAACAACGACACCTCCGCAAAACTCCCCGCGAAGCAAATCCGGGAGTATCAGCAGAAGCTCGGCTGCCTACTATTCGCAGCAGTAACCTGCCGACCTGACCTATCCTACAGCGCAAGCCAGCTGGCGACGCATCTGAAGCAACCGGAACAAGAAGATCTCGAAGAACTAAATTGGGCACTACTCTACTTCGTCTCTACGCTGACGAATGGACTCACCTACAGCAAAGTAACAACACCATCCGTACAACTACTCGGATACGTCGACGCCGACCACGCGGGAGACAGGGAAAATCGACGATCGGGAATGGGCTACATCTACCGACTAGAACCTATCGGACTATCTCTTGGCAGTCGAGCAAGCAGGAACTAATCGCACTATCTTCGGCTGAAGTAGAGTATATCGCCCTCTGTACTGCGACCAAGGAAGGACTCTACCAACGAGAGTTGCTCGGGGAAGCGAAGATCGCGACCCTGCCCGTCTTCTCACTCCTCTGCGACAACCAATCTGCGATAAAAATCGCGAACAAGGACGGCTTCGCCAACCGAACCAAGCACATCGCCCTGCGATACTTCTTCGTCAAAGATGAAATCGCGAAGGGGAGACTTCAACTCAGTTACTGCCCTACGACAGAAATGGCCGCAGACTATCTGACGAAGAAATTGGCGAAGGCAAAGTTCGATTACTGCACGCTGCTGACTCTTAGAAACTTAGGACTCAAGGTTCTTAAACTTAGGAGGCTAGGTTGGCTAGAATACTAGGAAGAAGGCCGCCATGGAATGGCGTGAGGAAAACGGATCTAGGAAGGGAGAGAATGTCGAGAAGAAAGAGGTTTGATTAGGAAGAGAGAGGAGTACAAGAAGGGGTTTGTACCCTCTACAGAAAGGTTCAGTAACAACTTACCAAGCCTATATTAAATTATAACTTATATAATTTTAACACTGACTGGGCAGACAAACGTCACCGGATCTGAACACGTTAGCACTCCAGAAACGAAGGGGAGTGTTGGAAATATCCCAAAGGACTTGAGCGTTTCTGAAGTGTAACACTACACTCGAGGAAGATCGTAACGGGTACGCGAGTCAACGGAGGTTACACGAGGGGATGGACAAAGAACGCGAAGGGACTCGAAGGGTCGCAACTGGAGGTTGCGACCGGCCATTACAACTGCACGAATGGTAACCGAAGCGACAATCGAGTCACAGTGCGATGCGACTCGATAACCGCTCCTGCAACTGTATTCTACAACTGCTTTACTTTCCTATTTTCTATATATTGCTGTATGCTTGTTTCTTTTAATCAATCACTTGTTCTCATATACTAGTACAAGGGTTCAACTACCTCAACTTCCGCTGCATTACTCAAGTCTTTTACAACTGGGACTTAGTCTCTGGAAAGATCCTAAGGGCATTTCTCAGCCCAACAAAGGCAAGAAAAACGAACAGGGTATTATGTAAAATGCAAACCCAGAAAAGGGGGTACTCTAAAAAATGTGCCATATCATAAGCTATGCCCCGCATATGCCACCCAATGGGCTGACTATTTCGGCGGGTCTTAAATACGGGGGATTACGGTATTCCATTCCAAGACTATATGTACCAGTATGATGTACACATCAATAGTGTACACTAAATAAGACATTCACAGGCCTTTCTAAATTAGTCAAAATTGGCAGTTCTGGCTGGACAGACCAGAAACTGGATGCAGAATTGCGACGGCAGGGGAAACACCAGGCTACCTTTTCTTCCAAAAACCTGCTGCCTCCCCTCCCCTATCATCGCTGGTTGGTGGAAGAACTTGCGTGCATCTCAACTGGCTTATTGCTGGAAACATTGCTCTGGCAGCAAAGCCTTTAGTCTAGCAGGAGTGCGCTGGACATGAGCAAAGCCTCCGGCGGCAATGTTACTGTCTCGCTGCTCAGGCTCCTGCCGAAGAGCAGCAGACCTCCAAAAATGAGTCGGACTTGGAGAAAGAATGGCGTCCACACCAATGAATCGTGGCTATGGGCGAGTGTCCCAGCCCATTGCAGAAGTGCAGCCTGGCCCCCTGATAGGGTCAAGCGTCCCACCCTCTGCTGGTGGGGGAAATGGCGGCAACACCTTTGCTCTGGAAATACCAAAACTGCTGCCAATTTCTGAACTGCTCACTGCTGCAGGGAGGCAAAGCTTCTGGCAGGAATGGGCCGGCCTTGGAAGACAAGAGCAAGAGCGTCCACACCATTCGGGAAAGGGTGATGCTGCTGGCGAGACACCTGTGACGCCATGTCAGCAGCTGGGAAGTCAAGAGCAGCAGATGGGTGGACGGTTCCAGGTGAAGAAGCAGCAGGAGCAGCAGCCGGTGGGGCAGCAACCACAGCAAGTGGGGAAGCAGCAGCCGCAGCTGCAGTAGGTGCAGGAACAGCCAAGTCAGCAGGAGCAGCAGTGACTGTGGCAGAGATGATCATAGGGAATATTCCTGCCTGAAAATCGTTGCCACCATTGCAGCCATCAGCCACAGCCGTCTTATCCCTAGCCCCCACCACTTCTCTCCTGCCCATACCCTTCCCGCCCACCCCCTTCCCCTCATCTCCCTTCACCTCACACAGAACCCTCCTCCTATTCCCCGCCATCCACTTGGCGTTTAAGTACTCCCACTTGCGCCACGGCGGAATGTGCATGCCCTGCGCCCTTAAAGCCCCGTGCATCGCGCCAGATACCACCTCCACCAGGTGCGCCAGCCGCTCCTCCCGCCCCACGAAGATCAATGGCGTGGATTCGAGCGCGGACGCGTACTCGCGCGTGGGCCGTGCGATCTGGAATTGCGCGCGGAAATCTAGGTCTATGATAAAGCGCTGACGGATGGCGGAAGCGGGGGAGGGGGAAGCGCCCTCTGCGGAAGCGGAGGGGGTGCAAGTGGGGAGGGAAGCTTGGGTGGCGGAGGTGATGGTAGTGGTGGGGGAGGCGGTTCTGGTGAAGGCGGGAGATAATGCGCGCGAGGTAAAGAGAGGGCCAGAGGTGGCAAAGACGTCGATGTACTCATATGACCCTGCAGAGAAGCGAAGCAAACGAAAAGGAGGACGAGGAAACGCTAGTTACGCAGGTGCAGAGTGCAAGGCCAGGCAGTGCTCTGATCCAAGCAAGGCACAGGCGACGCAAGGCGCGACATTTCAAGGGGAAAACGGAAGGGAAGACCGGAGAGAAGAACGCGAACATGTTTTTTTCCGGAATTCGGCCGCGTACCTTCCGGCACGGCGGGTGAGCTCTCCCACTGCGTCGTGCACACGGCCGCGTCGTACCCCATCGCACGCAGTCGCCCTGCGACAGCCGCGTTCAGGCGGCTCCCGCTCAGGCTCTGCGACGCCGATTCCACGTCGTCGCACGACGATTTCGACGACCTCGAGGCGTCCACGTGGCTCACGCGCGCGTCGGTCATCGCGGCGATGACGTCAGCGAAGAGAGCACTTTCGGCGGGGCCGTCCACGGCTGCAAGCGACTGTTAAGGAGACACGTGGCAAGGGAAAATGATTAAAAAAAAAAAACAAAAATGGGAAACTGTGTGATTGGACGGCATAAACGGGAAACATATTCTGATGACGGAGATGGGGAGTTGGCGGAGACGTTGACGAGGGACGCAAGGCACAACGACTCGTCTAGTCTCAGCCTTGTACTGAACCTTGACGTCTGTCAAGGCGTAGACGAGCAGGAAGACATGGGCATGCGCGAGGGACATTGCGAGCGATTCGTCAAGGCGTTGTACCTGAACCATGTGAAGCTGATCGTGCTCCGTCGATTGCATCTGCCTGTCCAGGTAATCCCCTGACAGCCGTTGATTCACATCCTCGCCATGCGATCCCAGGTTTGACCGCGCGGGTTGCGCTGGGAACAGGGCCGATGCTGCTCCGTGAAACTGATCCTGCGGGTACTGAACCCGCATGCTCTGCTGAGCGTGTGTGCCGTCGTGCCCCGACCACATTCCGTCTGTTCTGAACCGATGTGGCTTCAAGCCGTCGGGCGCATCGCTATCATCATCGCCATCTTCGAAATACTCGGAGATCAGATCAGCGAGGCGAAGCGAGGATGGATCTGACACGTCAGCGACCACGTCAGCGGCCAGAGCGGATGACACGGCCGCGGTCGACGGCCTTTGCAGCCGGAGGTCGAACCCGTCGCCGCGAATCAGGTGCAGCCCGCAACGGTCGGCGGGCTTTGCGGAGCTGCACTGAGAGTCGATCCCACGCGGAATTGGCGGGTGTTGCACGACCGTCATTTGCGGCGGGAAGAAGTACTGCTGCTGCTGGAACGGAGAGGCCGCGGGGCCAAACAACAGGGCGAGATTCCCAGGGACCTTGACGGAGGCGTTCTCGGCGCCAGCCGACACGCGGGTCTCCTTGCTGAAGGCGTGCGCGAAGCGGGAGGAGCTCTGCGACGAGAGGATGCTGATCAGGCTCGGCATGGCGCCTCGTCGGTTGGTTGGGCAGACTCGGACCTCCGAAAGCAGTACTAGCAAGTCTGAAAAAGAACGGAAGCGTCGAAGTACGGGAAGGCGCGATTATTGGAAAATGCGAGCAGTGCTACGGCTGTGGATGCTGTCGAAGAAACTACGAAGCTCCGTGCAAATGACGAGCAGCTACGAGTGTCTGACCGGTCCCAAAGCGGCTGGGATGGTTTTCAGTGTGACGTGACGACGGTCAGCTGCCGATGGTTCTACGTTCCGCACACGGGACCGCACCACACGTTGTGGCGACGACTGCTGTTGGCTTGACTCCGAGTCACACGAGTCGAGTGACGTGTCAGATGCACAGTGGAAGCGTGCGAAGAAAGCAAGATGCGGAGGGTCGGCTCGGCTAGGCACATGCCCATTTAGAGCCCAATTATCCGCACCTATTTGAGATGGGAGTCATCTGCAAGGTCCAACCAACGAGCGTGGAGTCGAAAGGTTCAGTAGTTTTCGTCCAATGGAGGATGAAAGGTCAAGCCAGCCTCAGTCGCGAAACACGTCATCAAGATGCTGCCGTTCTGGCCTAACGAAATGAAACGGCTGAGAGGAGAGGCAACTGGTGGTGCTGCAGACAACTAGCTCCCTGCTGGCAAAATGAAAGAGAAGGTCGAAATGCGCAATGGTGCATGCATGGATCTCAATCTTGCCTCTGCCGTGGTCTCAGATTCTCATTTTCAAAACCAGAGCAGATATGAGCGAGAAGGATCCTTGGGGAACAAACCGCGCCGCGCAACCCACACTTGGTGCCGCAGCGCAACGAGCACCCTCCTCGCAGGTGCGTGGTTTCAGTTTTGAGTTTCCCGTTTCAGAAACTTCACGACACAAAAGGAAGCCAATAGGCGAATATCCGACGGTTCTACGGCCTTTTCGAACCGAAGGTTCTGATCCGACGGAAGAACGTTGCGCATATAGAAGATTCGAGCTGATTTGGGAGATTTCTTTTCGGCTAGGTCCCCCCAATGGTCTGCCAAGGAGAGAATTCTGCTTGGCTGGGAGCAGCGAAATGAAATTCTGACAGCGAAACGTATTCTAACGGCCCGAAAAGGAGAGCGGTTCTAGTGGACCGAGTGTGGAGTGGAAAGATGGCGTGTCGTTTACGTTGCTGCTTCTGCCGCTGGGCAAGGCAACCAAAGCGCGGCTACTTTGGAGCCACAGATCTGGAACACGTGGCCTGTTGACTGCTGCGGATTGGTCTCATAAAGACCAGAGCGTCACACGCAATCCAATGCTCGTTAGTGAGTCTATTATTGTGACGTATAATCAAGAAGCATGTTAGGGACGTTGGTATATACCAGAATTCTGAAAGGATAGTAAAACCAACTATTTTAGTGCACAATTGCTGCACGGTTTCCTTTGACCGTTATAGCATATTGAACCCCTTGATTATCTTAAAACGGCTATGTGCTAAACCTATGTTCCTAACTGTAAAACACTATTCCAGTACGATAATATAGGAAGCATTGTTACATGTATGTTGAACGTGATATCATATGCGACCATATCATCACACAATCGTCGTGGATTAAGCTGGGCTAGTTGAGTCTGCTCTTATCGAACCTACCATTTTCCCGAGTCAGAGGCGAAGCTAGGATTCTGACTTAGGGCGCCAAGACATTTCCAGCATGCCAAGTGTATTCTAGCCTACGCGCGCTTGCCGCTGGACACATACCTATGTGACACGGTCCTTAATACATAAGAATGGTCGAGTCGGCTGGTCTGTTCGCTGATTACCTCGCGTCGCTGCCAGCCGCGCAGCTAGACCGGCTATACTCCTCCCTCTACACATGCCAGGCCGTGCTTAGGTAAGCTCCTCGTTTGGCTAATCGTGATTTCACGCCTTGAATTGAAGGGTCTGCTGAATGATGCCGCCTCGCGAGGCCGACACACTTACAGGGTCCGTCGTTGCGCTGCTTGCGGTGACGAAAACCCTTCGCGTGCTCTACTCGGTGGAGACACGTCTCCTTGCTCTCCTTATTGGCTTTCCCTATTTCCCTTGCGCGTGTCTGCCCGAGCAAAGGAATCCCGTCGTCTCTCCTCACCCCTCCTTTACTTCCGCAGCCCACGCATTCGCATCCTTCCTCCTAGCCACACTGCACGTGCTGCTGCTTCCTCCTCACCGACCCTGTCCCCCACCCCCCTCCCCCAGCCCCCACCCCCCCACCTTTCCCCCCAACCACTTTCCCCCTCCACCCACCCCCTCCTCGCGCTCTCAAGTTCTTTCAACCCCTTGCCACGCAGACCGTGCTGCGCCTGCCCTCTTCACCCACTGCACACCCGCTGCATTTTCCACACCCTCGCCAAACCCCCCCCCCCCCCGCCCCCCACCCACACCCCCCACACCCCCCCACTCCTTCCCCCATTGGCTTCCCCACCCTCCACTTCCACTTCCGTCCACCTTCGCGTCCGCAGGTCCCTCCCCCGGCTAGCCAAGCAGTACGTGCTGCGCCTGCTCTTCCTCACCGACCCTGTGGCCCACTGTGGCCCTCCCTCTTCCCCTTACCCTCCCCCACACTCTCCCCTCCCCGCCCCTCCGCCCCACCCCCCTTCGCATCCGCCGGTCTCATCCCCCCCTCTGGCCAAGCAGTGCGTGCTGCGCCTTCTGTTCCTCACCGACCCGTGCCCGCTTCACTTACTAGCTCCTCCCCTTCCCCTTCCCGCACCCCACACAACCCCACCGCACCCCCAGGTCCCTCCCCCCGCTAGCCAAGCAGTACGTGCTGCGCCTGCTCTTCCTCACCGACCCTGTCCCCGCTGCGCTCGTCGCTGATTGGCCCAAGCCAGAGGCGCAGAGCAAGCACAAGGCGTCCCTTGATAGGCTGCAGCAGCTGCGGCTGCTGCTGGCGTGCAGGTAACAGGGTTACGCGCTTGTTACAGGCTCGCAGGCAGCACGGTTACCAGTGTACATGTAAGTCCAGTCTTGTGCTGGTCTGTGGGTGATATTCGCTCTCCTTCTCCCTCCCTCTCCTTCTCCCTCCCTCTCCTTCTCCCTCCCTCTCCTCGTCGCTCTCTTCCCCCCCCCCCTTCCCTCTACTCCCTCCACCCCAAACGCAGTGAAACAGGGTCGCTCTCAGCAGCATCAGCAGCAGCAGCAGCACCAGCAGCATACCGCCTCAACCCCACCTTCCAGCAGCAACTGCAGCATGCACTCACGTCAGGGTGAGCGGGGCGTTGCTTGGTTAGGGGCACGTGGGGCACGTGGGGCACGTGGGGCACGTGGGGCACGTGGGGCATGGATAAGCGTTGATAAGCGAACATGGTCGTTTCTTGCATGAGCGCCCTCAGAACCATGACAACCGACTCAGTCGCACCTTCCAGCAGCAGCAGGGTAAGAGAGGCGCTGACAGGCTTTCCTGCAGGGTGCATGGGCCATGCACGCGCTTCTCAGCTCAGGCCATGGGTAGTGCGTGATGCTTGGTTGCATGGCTCGTGGGGCATCGGGCGCATGAGTAGTGCATGCATGGCGCGTACGGGGCAATGGGTGCATGGCGCGTACGGGGCAATGGGTGCATGGTTAGTGCATGCGTGGATTGCCGGCCATTGAAAGAGCCCCATCTCTTCCCCAACTCCCCTTCCCAAACCCCTCTACCCCCCCTCCTCCCCCCTCTCTTTCCCTCTCCCTCTCTTTCCCTCTCTTTTTCTCTTTCTCTTTGCCTCCCCTCAGAGCGCCTGTCTCTCGCCCAAGCGTCCCTGCCTCTGTGGCAAGTCGCCTGCCTTCCGCGGCTGAGCTGGCAGTGCACGCCACCAGCCACTGGGAGGTGAGTATCTGATTCTGTTGCCAAGGACGGTGGGTTAGGATGTGTTTTGAAGGTGGCGAGAGTGGGAGTGGGAGATGAAGGGAGGGAGGAAGTAGGGGATGATGAAAGAAGGGAGGGAGGAATGGGTGGAGAGGGAGGAAATAGAGGGAAGCAGGGAGGAAGGTGTGTGACTCAATCGCAAACCCGCTGTCCCTACCTTCCCTCCCCATCTCTTCACCTGCAGTCAGTCCTGGTGCATCTCATATCGCCCCCATCTATAGCGGCTGGACATGGCACTGCTGTTATCACACACACACATCATCCGACCCGCTTACCCACCCGTAACACAATCCCATTCCCCTCCCATTCCCCCACCAACCCCCGCCCCCCATCCTTCCCCCCCCTCCCGCCCCCCCCCCCCACACCCCCAACCGGCAGTCGGTCCTGATGCATCTCGTGTCGCCCCCGTCCATAGCGGGTGGCCATGGTGCCGCTGTTATCACTCGAGTACTCATCAGAGCTGGCCTCCTCATCCAAACGTGAGTGCCATTCTTCCCAAATCCTCAACAGCACCCTTGCCAGCAGCAGGGGGCATGGTGCGGCTGTCATATCGCACGGGTGGTCATTAGAGCCTGCCTCGAAATCCTCAGACAAACGTAAGTGCCCTGAACTCCATCCTCTCCTCATTAGCGCCACAACCCGCATGCAATCGCCCCTCCTGATCCAAGAAACGACGCTCAGGTTTGAAAGCTGGAACTTTGGAAATTCCTCGCCTTCATGTCTGTCCTTATCGTGGCTGGCCCTCACTCACTGTCAGAAAGTCCAGTCTGTCTGCTGCTGACCTGACCAACTGTGTTCAGGGTGTGGCGTTGAACCCACTAACCCCCAGGACGAAATCTGTGGCCCTTCCCATGCCTGTAGCCCTTTGCAGCCACAGCCGCATCTCAGCTTGACTTCCGCAGCCGGCGCTTATGCTCTGCTCCTTGCCTTGCCGCCCACCCATGCCCTGCTCCGTGGAGAAACACCGCCTCGCCTCGCACACAAGGCCCTCGCAAACGCCTCATGCTCTAATCCCCGAGCTTACAGCTGGTTAAGTTTGCTACTTGTAGCTACATTTAGTCCAGCATTTTCAAAACTGGAAAGCTTTTGGTATGTCGGATACACTTAGAAGAAACATACTATTTGTTCATTAGTAGGGCCAGGATCCTGGAGTAGCAGCCAAGGTTATCTCAGGTATTGTCAGGATTACCTTCCCAGGCTGACATCCTCTCAGCCTGAGCACTAGCCCGGGAAGTCACTGCACCCACCCGCTCTCTCTTTCAACCTGCTATGATTTTCTCTCCTCAAGATAGAGTGTGTGGAAAGGAGGTGGGGGGGATATGTCCTGAGCCCCCTTCAGAGAGCGTGAGTCCTTGGTGTGTCTCAGGCACACCCGCTTGACTCAGTTCTTGTCGAAACAGGCTTGAGACGCCTCAACTGTTCTCTAACCCCTCATTCTCCCCTTCTGCTCCCTTCTTTTCCCGGCATTCCTCCCTGTCTCCTCCTTCCCTTGCGTCTCCTCGTTCAATTCTTCTCTCTCAGGGGCTCCTCTCTTTCGGTTGTCTCATCCTTGGCCTTCCCCTTCCTTGTAAGCCCCCTCCTCTTGCTGGCTCCTTCTCCCTCGTCGCTCGCTACCCTGCAGGGTCATGTGTGAGCCGGGCGTGGTGACATCTTGCCTCAATGTGGATTCAAAGTGACAAACGGGGGAAACGAGTCATTATCTTCGTTTCACACCATCGCATAAGTTCATATGTGATTTGATTGTTAATCGTAGTGGTTTCGTTCTTAAGCTTCTATTTATCTGTTGTTGCGTGTGTGTGTGTGTGTGGTTGCGTGTGTGTGTGTGTGTGGTTGCGTGTGTGTGTATGTGGTTGCGCGCGCGCGTGCGTGTGTGTGTGTGTGTGTGTGTGTGTGTGTGTGTGTGTGTGTGTGTGTGTGTGTGTGTGTGTGTGTGTGTGTGTGTGTGTGTGTGGACGCCATTCAACAGCTCAAGGATCGAAACGAGCAGCTGTGGGCGATAGTGTCGAGCTACATCGAGTCGGCGCAGGTCAGTTGGCTGGGTCAACGCATGTCAAAGAGATTCAAGGCATGCGCATGTCGATGGGCATGTTGACGGGCATGTCGACGGGCTAGCAAACGGACTGGAACGAGCAGCTGTGGGCGATCGTGTCGAGCTACGTCGAGTCGGCGCAGGTCAGCCTGGGCTGATCGTGTTAGTCCAGTCCAGAGAAGTCAGTCGTGTCCACACAAGTCAAGTTGAGCCAATGGCAGGGAAGAGGTAGATCGAGTCGTTCGAATAGTACGTGGACTATGCATGCAGGCCTGATGGGTGAATGCAAGTCCCTCTGATGTTCGCTATGGCTGTAACTCGTTGTTGTCCCTATCTGGTTTGTAGTCACTCCCCATTCCCCTCCGACCTTGCCCCCCCCTATCACTATCTCTTGTCCCTCGTTTTTGAGGCGCCTAAAAAATTTCTGGTCCTATCACTATTTCTGGTCCCTCGTTGTCTCTTGTCTGTACCAAGGCTGTGATTGCCGCTATGTGGTTGTTGCGTGCGAGGCACCTTACAACAACTTATCTCTCCCCCCCACCCCCTTGTCCTTCCTCTCCCCTGCTCCCCTCTCAGGGCCGAGGCCATGACAGTCGGGGCTTGTAGGCCTTTCTTGAGAATTCTAAGAAGTGGCAGGCACGACGGCACGGCAGGGGGGGTGTGGTTGTTATGACTAATGAGGCGCCAAAGCGAGGCTTGCTGTCCCTTCTCACCTTGCCCCTCCCCCATCCAACCCCCTCCTCCCCCCACCAATGGCAGGACCGAGGGCATGACAGTGGGGATGTGATCGCCTTTCTTCTGGAGCTGGGGTTTCACAGCATAGGCACGGTATGGTTACAGCATAGGCACGGTATGTTTACAACATAGGCACGGTATGGCTACAACATAGGGCCGGTATGGTTACAACATAGGCACGGTATGGTTACAACATAGGCATGGTATGGTTACAACATAGGTGCGGTACGCTACAACAACATAGGCGCGGTACGGTTACAACAGCATAAGAGGTACAGTTACAACTTAGATGCGGTACTACAATTCTAACATAGGCACGGTATGGTCAGAACACAGGCATGGTACGGTTGATCGTTAGGCCAGATGGTTAGTTAGAGTGTGCGTATCCGACAGAAGCCTTTATTGGATTATAACTATGGCTCTACATCTTGCAGTGCGGCTATGGCAAGGGGTAACACGACATATCTCTGCTGTGATTGTAGGTGACGTGTGCTGCTAGGTGACCGAGGCCAGTGAGTGATGTCATTGCAATGAGCGCGTGACGTCATGATCCATCATTGCATGCTATTTGCATGCAAGAAAGCTCGCAAGCGTACCCACGTTGCGAACTCTTTTGTTTCCTTCCTCTCTCTGGTGCGAGCCTGTGTGTGTGCGCACTGTGGCCTCAATGATACACATGCATCTCTCCATGCCCATGCATCTCTCCATGCCCATGCATCCGTCCGTGCATACAAGCAGCCCTACGGCTCGTTGGCACGGATGGATGCATGCAGCAGGAGGTGGTGGAGGAGATTGCACAGCTCAGCTGCTCTTTGTATTTTCCTCCTTCCCTCCCCCACTTTCTTCCCTCCCCCCTCCTCCTTCTCTTGCATGTGTATGTATGTGTGTGCCTATCCATGCATGCATGCATGCATACCCCAAGCAGCCATCATGTCAACATCAGCCAGCATGCAGCAGCTGCAGGTGGAGGAAACAGCACAGCTCCATTCATCCCATTTGTTATTTTCTTCTCACTCCCCCTCTCCCCCCCCCTCCTCTCTTGGTTTGCATGTGTATCCATGCATGCGTGCATACATGCCCACGAGCAGCCATACAGCATGTCAACGCTGACCAGCATGCAGCAGGAGGTGGTGGAGGAGATAGCTCAGCTTGGATTCGTGCTCACACAGAAGGTTTGAAACGAGTTATTCGTCGCTCTGCTAGTTTATAATATTCGTGGCCATCCATGCTGTGTAGCCCGATGCATGTGCCCTCTGATAAATGTGCTTGTAGAGTCAGCTCAATCATTCATTCAAACCTATATCATATTCCTACTCCGAAGCCTCATGAGTACCCACTATCACTCCACGCAATATACAGTTGGCTGATGTGTACCGAACCATGCCCGCCTCCTGCTTGTGTCTCACGCTGGGACAACCGTCGGATAAAACCATACTCGGTCCAAGTCTTCCTTCACAGTATCTCGCCACAGCTGAAAATTCTGCATCAGATTCTATGAGAACGTCATTGCATAACCGTGATACCATCATGTCATTCCATCGCCTGCACGCCATGCCATGGCCCTCTCGGCAGGGGAGGCACGATCAGTGGTTCATACCCACGCATCTGGCAGCGGCCCTCTCCTCCAGCCTATCGGAATCTGCCACGTCAGATTCTGAGGTGAGTCACTACCATCTTTCAACGAAGCACTGGGAACGAGCTACGAATGTCGAACCACATGTATACCTCATATCTCCATTTCATAACCCACTGCTGGCATCCCTCCTCGTCTCCCCTCTCTCTTTCTTGCTTTCCCTCCCTCCCGATTCTCTCTCTCTTCCGCCGCTGCCCTCACTCTTTTCCCACATGCACACACTCATTCACTCACTTGCTCACTCACTCAATCTTACTGTTTTATCGATCTATCACTTTTCCCCCCCTTAGCATGGCAGGGCTTCATTGTGGTGGAGACCAACTTCAGAGTGTACGCGTACACGCAGTCAAAGCTGCAGGCGGAGATTCTCTCACTATTCATGAGGTAAGAAGCTTCCTGGAGTCTCTCACTATTCATGAGGTCAGACGCCGCTTGCCCGTCACCCTTTTCCCCTGCCTTCCTTCCTCATCCGCACTCCCTCTCCTCCATGGCCGCTCTCCTCCACGGCCGCTCTCCTCCACGGCCGCTCTCCTCCACGGCCCCTCTCCTCCACGGCCGCTCTCCTCCACAGCCGCTCTCCTCCACGGCCCCTCTCCTCCACGGCCCCTCTCCTCCACGGCCCCTCTCCTCCACGGCCCCTCTCCTCCACTGCCCCTCCTCCACGGCCCCTCTCCTCCACGGCCCCTCTCCTCCACGGCCCCTCTCCTCCACGGCCCCTCTCCTCCACGGCCCCTCTCCTCCACGGCCCCTCTCCTCCACGGCCCCTCCTCCACGGCCCCTCTCCTCCACGGCCCCTCTCCTCCACGGCCGCTCTCCTCCACGGCCGCTCTCCTCCACGGCCCCTCTCCTCCACGGCCCCTCTCCTCCACGGCCCCTCTCCTCCACGGCCCCTCTCCTCCACGGCCCCTCTCCTCCACGGCCCCTCTCCTCCACGGCCCCTCTCCTCCACGGCCCCTCTCCTCCACGGCCCCTCCTCCACGGCCCCTCTCCTCCACGGCCCCTCTCCTCCACGGCCGCTCTCCTCCACGGCCGCTCTCCTCCACGGCCCCTCTCCTCCACGGCCCCTCTCCTCCACGGCCCCTCTCCTCCACGGCCCCTCTCCTCCACGGCCCCTCTCCTCCACGGCCCCTCTCCTCCACGGCCCCTCTCCTCCACGGCCCCTCTCCTCCACGGCCCCTCTCCTCCACGGCCCCTCTCCTCCACGGCCCCTCTCCTCCACGGCCCCTCTCCTGCACGGCCCCTCTCCTCCACGGCCCCTCTCCTCCACGGCCCCTCTCCTCCACGGCCCCTCTCCTCCACGGCCCCTCTCCTCCACGGCCGCTCTCCTCCACGGCCCCTCTCCTCCACGGCCCCTCTCCTCCACGGCCCCTCTCCTCCACGGACCCTCTCCTCCACGGCCCCTCTCCTCCACGGCCCCTCTCCTCCACGGCCCCTCTCCTCCACGGCCCCTCTCCTCCACGGCCCCTCTCCTCCACGGCCGCTCTCCTCCACGGCCGCTCTCCTCCACGGCCCCTCTCCTCCACGGCCCCTCTCCTCCACGGCCCCTCTCCTCCACGGCCCCTCTCCTCCACTGCCCCTCTCCTCCACGGCCCCTCTCCTCCACGGCCCCTCTCCTCCACGGCCCCTCTCCTCCACGGCCGCTCTCCTCCACGGCCGCTCTCCTCCACGGCCCCTCTCCTCCACGGCCCCTCTCCTCCACGGCCCCTCTCCTCCACGGCCCCTCTCCTCCACGGCCCCTCCCCTCCACGGCCCCTCTCCTCCACGGCCCCTCTCCTCCACGGCCCCTCTCCTCCACGGCCCCTCTCCTCCACGGCCCCTCTCCTCCACAGCCCCTCTCCTCCACGGCCCCTCTCCTCCACGGCCCCTCTCCTCCACAGCCCCTCTCCTCCACGGCCCCTCTCCTCCATGGCCCCTCTCCTCCACGGCCCCTCTCCTCCACGGCCCCTCTCCTCCACGGCCCCTCTCCTCCACGGCCGCTCTCCTCCACGGCCGCTCTCCTCCACGGCCGCTCTCCTCCACGGCCCCTCTCCTCCACGGCCCCTCTCCTCCACGGCCGCTCTCCTCCACGGCCCCTCTCCTCCACGGCCGTTCTCCTCCACGGCCCCTCTCCTCCACGGTCCCTCTCCTCCACGGCCCCTCTCCTCCACGGCCCCTCTCCTCCACGGCCCCTCTCCTCCACGGCCCCTCTCCTCCACGGCCCCTCTCCTCCACGGCCCCTCCTCCACGGCCCCTCTCCTCCACGGCCCCTCTCCTCCACGGCCGCTCTCCTCCACGGCCGCTCTCCTCCACGGCCCCTCTCCTCCACGGCCCCTCTCCTCCACGGCCCCTCTCCTCCACGGCCGCTCTCCTCCACGGCCCCTCTCCTCCACGGCCCCTCTCCTCCACGGCCCCTCTCCTCCACGGCCCCTCTCCTCCACGGCCGCTCTCCTCCACGGCCCCTCTCCTCCACGGCCCCTCTCCTCCACGGCCCCTCTCCTCCACGGCCCCTCTCCTCCACGGCCCCTCTCCTCCACGGCCCCTCTCCTCCACGGCCCCTCCTCTCCACGGCCCCTCCTCTCCACGGCCCCTCCTCTCCACGGCCCCTCTCCTCCACGGCCCCTCTCCTCCACGGCCCCTCTCCTCCACGGCCCCTCTCCTCCACGGCCCCTCTCCTCCACGGCCCCTCTCCTCCACGGCCCCTCTCCTCCACGGCCCCTCTCCTCCACGGCCCCTCTCCTCCACGGCCCCTCCTCTCCACGGCCCCTCCTCTCCACGGCCCCTCCTCTCCACGGCCCCTCTCCTCCACGGCCCCTCTCCTCCACGGCCCCTCTCCTCCACGGCCCCTCTCCTCCACGGCCGCTCTCCTCCATGTCCGCTCTCAAAGGTCTCGCTCTCTCGCTGTCCTCCTTCAGTCTCCTCTCTCTCCTCTTCCCCGTGCCTCCTTGTTTCTCCCCACCCAGCCCGGAGTACCGTCTCCCTAATCTGGTGGTGGGAATCACGAGGACAGATACAGTCAACGGTGCTCTCGTCCTCTCTCTTCTCCATCCCTCCGCTCTCCACTCTCCCCTCTTCCCCTCGCCTCGTCCTATCTCTGTTTCACCGAGCCCAGGCTGGAGTACCGCCTGCCTAACCTGGTGGTGGGCATCATGAACCGAGAAACCGTCAACAACGCTCTCGCACTCGGCATTGTTGCAGAGCAGGTGGGTTCCTCGGGTCATTTCAGCAGAACCAGGTGGGCTGGTCAGATGTTCTCAGCAGAGCAGGTTGGTTAGTCAGGTGAAATCAGCAGAGCAGGTGGGTTATTCAGGTGATATCAGCAGAGCAGGTGGGTTCCTCAGGCGTAAAAGCAGACCATGAGCAAGCAGGCCGATTCCCTTCCTGCTTCTGCTCTCATATTTTGCACTTGCCCATCCACTCCCTTTGTTGTCCCCCCCCTTCCCAAACCCCTCCACCTGATAGTGCATTATGTGTGCCAGAAACGACCATCCAACCCCTACCCTCCTTGTTCCCCCCCCCCCCTCCCACCACCACCAAATAGCGCAGTATGTGTACAAGAAACGCCCGTCGACGCCCTTCTCCTCTGCTCTACCCTACCTTCACTTGCCTATCCCCCTGCCGTGTGTCCCCCCCCACCAGATAGTGCAGTACATGCGAAAGAACGCCCACCCACAGGTGGCCATCAAGCCCCCTGTGGTGCCAGAGACGGTGGTGGACCAGGTGGGTGCAGTGAGTGACAGTGGCGGGCCAGGTGGGTGGTAACTAGGTGGTTGGTAACCAGGTAGGTGGTAACTGGGTGGGTGGAAACCTGGCAGGTGGTATTTGGGTGGGTGGTGGCCGGACTGCCCATCCACAGGTGGCCATCAAGTCCCAAGACATTGCTAGGCAATGTCGGATCATGCTCCCTCATGCCATGTTGTGCCATCTCATATGGGGTCATGCCATGTCATGCCATGTCACACCGAGCAATTTGCTCAAGTATTCCTTCCACACAACTAAAAACCTTTAACTGCCCATTGCCCCTACTCCTGTTTCGCCTCTCCCTCTCACCACCCCCTGTGCGACAGACCCGCCTGTGGGAGCTTGATCGCAATAGAGTGGCCTCGACTAGATTTGAGGCGCCTCAAAACTGCCATTGCTACTCCTATTCCACCTCCCCCTCTCATCACCCCCTTGCTGCCCCCCCCCCCCCCCCCCCCCCCCCCCATGTCAGATCCGCCTGTGGGAGTTTGATCGCAATCGGGTGGCCACGACTGCTGCGGTGCTCTATGATGACTTCCCCACCCAGGTGAGCCTTGGTTCTTCCCCATCCAGGTGAGCCTTGGCCCTTCCCCACGCAGGTGAGCCTTGGCCCTTCCCCACGCAGGTGAGCTCCGATTTGACAGCATGGCACCGTGGGTATGAAGTGGGCTTTTGAGACGACTTCCCAACTGAGCACTTGTGACCGCTGCTGTGCTCCATGGTGACCTCCTCAACCAGGTGAGCTCTGACAGCATGCCAGGTGACAGAGTTAATAAAGTGGATGAACCAAGTGCCACGTGTCCTGCACGCATGTTGGAGAATCCATTTTTGGTACCTATTGCTATTCCGATCCATCAGTTAGCATCAGACAATCCCAGTCCATAATGACCCAAAAAATCTTCACATGTCAGTTATCGCCTCACTCTGATTGAGCATGCTCCAAACTTTACTGGGTTTATACTTCCCTTGTCCTTTTCCAGGAGGTTTTTGAAGCCATCGCACGGCATGCGCAACAGATTGGTGCATTGCTGTGGAAGGATTCAAAGAAAAGGAAGTTTGTTGTTCGTGCAGACGCACATGACAGTGTGCGGACGTTCATTCGCCATCTAGGCAGCAAGAAGAAGAGACGTAGTGATGCTTGATTCTTGTCACTTGCGAAATGGTGCAATATAGGCCAAGTACCCTCTCCTACCACGTGCATTGAATAGATGAAGTAGCTTAGTGGTGGTGTATCGTAGTAGAGGCGTCTGCGTAACAGCGTTCTGTGACGAATTCCGTTACCTACAGCATGGAATGTTGACAATTTCGTTCGCCGCGCTGATCCCTCACTACCTTCACGAAGCATCTCGAATCCCTTCGTGCGCGTTCTCCTCCGTCAACTCCGGTGTTTTGCCCATCACCAAACGACAGTACTAAACGGTTCGGATTAGACGAACCCCTCGTCGAAGCCCCCAATCACAGAGGTACGACAGAGGTATGGTCGAGGCTCGGACGGGTGAATTAAAAGCTGCCACCACACCACATCTCCCGATCACCGTACCGAACATCCCAAGCCACCACCATACCTCACTGCCACAGCCCCATACACGAAGCGCGTGGCACAGTCCCGTTGCTTCAAATAAGATCCTATACCGTACTGGACGTAGCTGCATCACACAAAATCCAGCGATTCTAACAACGAACCGACCTGCACCAGAAACTAGATCGAGATGTCACCTCTGAAACGCCTTGATTCCACTTCATTGTGAGAACCCAAGGTCTCGCCACTGCAGATCGACTTGTCTCACATTGTGTACCTGGCTTGTCTCCTAGACCATAGCATCATCGCATCGCTATCTATTTCCGCTCAACTCTTTCCCTCCGACTACTTCGTTCCCCGCACGGCCTGCCTGCCGTCAGTCATGGCTTCGCCTAAGCCGAACCCGCTTCTCACGCCGTTCACCCTCCCCGACGGCACGGAGCTCTCGATGCGCATCGTCTACGCGCCGCTAACGCGCGATCGCGCCGTCGGAACCATCCCGCAGCCGAACGCCACGATCTACTACTCGCAGCGCGCGCATAAGGGCGCGTTGATGCTGACGGAAGCCACGTGCATCTCGGCCGAGGCGCACGGGTACCCCGACACGCCCGGGATCTACACGGACGCGCAGATCGCGGCGTGGAAGCCGGTGATCAAGGCGGTGCACGCCAAGGGCGCGCTGCTCTACTGCCAGCTCTGGCACGTCGGCCGCGCGTCGCACCAAGGTTCGCCGCCAGAGCTGGCATTGGTCGTAGTACGAGTAGTAATCCTTGCGGGGCCCTAAGCGAGGGTCTGGCACGGCAGTAGAGAGTCCGTGGAAGGACTTCGGTTATTTGGGACTGGCGTCACTACTATTGACTACGACCGTAGCCTGCTGTAGCGTCGTTACGCGCACAGGAGCACCAAGACCAGTTGTAGGTGACGTGGTGCTGACGCGCATTGGTGCTGACGCGCATTGGTGCTGTCACCTCTGACTGAAAGATTTTGCTATCCGTTCAGCATTGCTCGTATGCGCAGTTTCGATCACCTTTTGAGGCGTCCAGCGTCATCCCGCCACCGACTTTCGACGTCACCATTCTCCGCGTTTCGTCGCTCACCCTGCCACTTCTGATTTGTCATCTCCCCCTCCTCCCCCCCACCCCCCACCCCCAAACACCCCCCCCTTCCCCACTGCGCGCCGAGCAGAGTACCAACCCGATGGCCGCGCGCCAATGGCTCCGTCCGCCATTCCGATTCGTAGCGAGGACAAAGTGTACATCAGCACTGGCGCCGCTGACTACCCCACCCCGAGGGAGATGACCGTTGAAGAAATAAAGACGGTAAGGAAGAGGTTCATAGCGAGGACAAAGTGTACACCAGCACTACTAGTGCACCACCGACTGTTCTGTTCTTAGGAAATTGACCGGCAGAGAAACTTAGACGGCAAGGAAGAGGTATGTAGTGAGGAAAAAGTGTACAACAGCATGACGTCACTACCCCACTCTTAGGACCATAACTGCTGTTTTTCCTGCTTGCAAAAACTTCCTTGACTGAACCATCTGCCTTATTTTGCTGCCTAAGTATGTGGTCGTTTGATGCGCTTTCCGTTGTCGCATCCGCCTCCTCCACCTTCCCGGGTGACGTGAATGCAGGTCACTGAGCAGTACCGCGTGGCGGCTCGCAATGCGATTGACGCCGGATTTGATGGTGTGGAGGTGCACGCTGCCAACGGGTATCTGCTGGAGCAATTCATTAAGGTGAGAGCAGTTCATCAAGGTGAGAGCAGTTCATCAAGGTGAGAGCAGTTCATCAAGGTGAGAGCAGTTCATCAAGGTGAGAGCAGTTCATCAAGGTGAGAGCAGTTCATCAAGGTGAGAGCAGTTCATCAAGGTGAGAGCAGTTCATCAAGGTGAGAGCAGTTCATTAAGCTGACAAAAGTTCATTTTGGTGAGAGCGGATCATTAAGATGAGAATCATCTAGTCTAGTCGTGAATAGCTATCTATTCATTAAGGTGAGAGCAGGGGTGTGGGCAGCTCATCAAGGTGAAAGTCGATTAAGGTGAGATAGCTAGCAGTTATCTGTAAAAGCACTGATCAGAGATAGCGACCAGTCATCAAGGTGTATGGCGGTAAGGCGATTAGGAGTCCATCTTACGCAGCACTTCTCAAGGCGCTGGTGGTGCTGGTGGTGCTGGTGGTGCTGGTGGTGCTGGTGGTGCTGGTGGTCAGCAGCACATTGCGGTTGGATGGTTGGAGCTTGTTAAGCGGAGATGGTTGATCACTGGGTTATCCACTCGGTGCACGATAATGCCTTCCACGCGCCTCCACACCTTCTCCTTTCCCCCACCCCCCCAACCCCCCGTTTTTCTCCTCCGCTCCCTTCTTTCTCCTTCCCCCCCACTGGGCCCCTCCCCAGGATGGCAGCAACAAGCGCACAGACGAGTTTGGCGGCTCCCTTGAGAACCGGCTGCGATTTCCCGTGCAGGTGGGTAGAGTGTCTTGAGTGAAGGGAGGTGGGGCCTGCTGTGAGTGATGCCTGTGTGACTCGTGAGTTTGATGGCTCCCTGGAATACAGGCTGCGATTTCCCCAGCAGGTGGTAGTTTCTGCGGTTGGAACAAGGCGGCTACTGCGCCAGCAAGGTTAAGGGCAGGGCAAGACAGAAGCGGGTTCAATCAGCAGTCACCTTGCGGTGGTTGGAACAAGGCGGCTACTGCAATTGCGAAGTGAAGATTCTGCTGTGAGATTTTGAAAGGTGAAACTCTGCCTCTGCGGATTGAGAGCTGGTTGAAGGCAATGCAGCGACGAACAGCGAGGCGCAGGACAGAGATACAGCTGAAGCGGAGGGTGCACTGACTGTCTCCTTCTCCCCCCCTTGCTTTGCTCCTCACTCCCTCCTGCTCCCTGTTCCTCCTGCAATGCCCACCTCCCCTCCCCTTTTTCTCCCCCCCTTCCCCCCTTCCTTTCTCCTTTTACTCCCTCCCTTGAGGTATCACGGCAGTTGTGGAGGAAGTGGGAGTCAGCAAGGTGGGGGTGCACGGCTGCCACCTGGAGATGTCTCATGGCGTCCCCTACTTCGCATTTCCATGCACCGCCATCACCACCCCTCCCGTCACGAGCAGGTGACCACAGCAGCGGTAGAGGAAACGGGGGCAAGCAAGGTGGGGGAGTGGCTTTGACTCCTCAAAGCTCACTCCATTATGACTGCTCTCACACCCCCTCTCCCTCCACTCCCCACTCCCTCCCTCCCTCCAGGTAATCAAGGCAGTGGTGGAGGAAGTGGGGGCAAGCAAGGTGGGCGTGCGGCTGTCGCCTTACAACACCTTCCTGGATACTTCCGACTCGGATCCCGTGAACACGTACCTGCGATTGGTCGAGCACGTGGACGGCATGGGCTTGTCTTATCTGCACTTCATTGAGGCGCGTGTGCGGGGCAACGACGACCAGGATGGGGGGAAGGAGGTGAGTCTATGGCGTCCTGTCACGCACACACATGGACGTGGCATACCTATGCGTCATTGAGGCGTGTGATCCGTCAATGCTTGTTGGGTGGGAAGGAGGTGAATAGTGTGTGGTTGGTTGTGGGCTGTGTGCCTTCAGCCTGGCTTATCTGCACTGCTTTTCACACAGAAGGGCTTGGCTTGTCACACAAGAGGGCGTGGCTGACTTGCACTTGGTGGAGCCATATGTGGGGGCGGGCGATGGCGTTGAGGCTTGAGCACATCCAGGGAGGTGAGCTGTGTATGGTTGTGGGCCGTGGCTTGTCTTTAGGTCAATGGCCGTCAGGGCCGGCCCAGTCTCCGCACGGCATGGGCAAGGCTTACCCGCATGGCATGGGGAAGGCTTACCCGTGTGGCATGGGCAAGGCTTACCTGCGGGACATGGGGAAGGCTTACCCGTGTGGCATGTATGGGCAAGGCTTACCCACGTGGCATTGGCTAGGAGGAGGCGAGAGAGGTGAGAGCTGTGCTTGGTGGTTGTGGTTGGTGGTGGGTGGGTGTTGGGTGGGTGGTGGGTGGTGTGGCGGAGCACCTGCACAGCGTGAGCCTGGCCCCCTGCGCTACATTGAGTCGTGTGTGAGAGCTGTCGTTAATCTGGAGTTTTCTAAGAAGTTTTCCTGAATAAAAGACTTTGTCCTGTCATTTCCTTACCTGTTATCCCTTCTCTCTCTTGGTTCTGGCCCGTACCCTTTACCTCCAGCCTCTAGAGCTATTCCGTAGTGCGTCCAAAGCGCCTATATTTCTTATCTGTACTTCTCTGCTCTTTATTCTTCTCTCTTTCCTTCTTCCTTCCCTGGTCGTATTTTCTCCCCATCGCCCCTACCCCTCTACCTGCAGACTCTGGAGCCCTTCCGCAATGCATTCAAGGGGCCCTTCATTGCTGCTGGCGGCTATAAGGTGTGTCGCCCTTGTGTTCTAGTCTTACCATGGCTATGAAGGCGCAACGTGCTGCATGATGTACACTGTCATTGCATGATGTACACTGTCATTGCATGATGTACACTGTCATTGCATGATGTACACTGTCATTGCATGATGTACACTGTCATTGCATGATGTACACTGTCATTGCATGATGTACACTGTCATTGCATGATGTACACTGTCATTGCATGATGTACACTGTCATTGCATGATGTACACTGTCATTGCATGATGTACACTGTCATTGCATGATGTACACTGTCATTGCATGATGTACACTGTCATTGCATGATGTACACTGTCATTGCATGATGTACACTGTCATTGCATGATGTACACTGTCATTGCATGATGTACACTGTCATTGCATGATGTACACTGTCATTGCATGATGTACACTGTCATTGCATGATGTACACTGTCATTGCATGATGTACACTGTCATTGCATGATGTACACTGTCATTGCATGATGTACACTGTCATTGCATGTTGTACACTGTCATTGCATGATGTACACTGTCATTGCATACTGTACACTGTCATTGCATGACTGTACACTGTCATTGCATGACTGTACACTGTCATTGCATGACTGTTGTAGACACTACATTCGCTATCAAGGACATACGCATCTTCCCCCACCTTTAATCCTGCGCACCCCGTTCCCAACTCTTCCTGTTCACCCCGTTCCCAACTCTTCCTGCGCACCCCGTTCCCAACTCTTCCTGTTCACCCCGTTCCCAACTCTTCCTGCGCACCTATCAGCGCGAAAGCGGCATGTCGGCTGTCGAAGGTGGGTCGGCGGATTTGATTGCATACGGCCGTCTCTTCCTTGCTAACCCTGACCTGCCGAAGCGCTTTGAGCTGAATGCGCCGCTCAACCCGTACGACCGCAGCACCTTCTTCTGTGCAGAGCAAGTGAAGGGGTACATTGATTATCCTTTCCTCGATGAGGAGCCTAAGAAGGACGAGTAGAGAGGGATATGTGTAAGAATAGCGAGGGAAAATTGTGCCTAAGAGTGTGTTCTTGCGGCCTCTTCCCAGCCAACCTCTTCCCAGACTCACGCACTACAGAGACGCGTAATTTTGACGCGTAACAGTTTAGTGCGGTTCCGTGTGGTGTGACGCGAGATTGGGATTGTCGAGATTCAAGGCGTGTTTTCAGATCTCGTTTCAGGCGCCAAAATTTCAGACCTGCGCGAATCTGTACTTAGCGGTTTTTACGAGATGATTCATTGTGGTGAAGTACGCGATTCTAAAACGAATTAGCTGGTAATATGGTTCTGCTAGCACGCTCACAGGCGGGGGGCGACTTTGGGAAGAGGATAGCCAGGGAAGAGGCTGGTAGGAACACGCTCTAAGGGAAATTGTCGAGGGATACAAGACTAGAGCTGTACCCTCTAAGATCTAAATTAGCTAGGCTATAATACAAATATGAAATACGGTAGCTAATCTATATTACCGTAATCACCCGGATATATGTGCAGCCATTTATTAAGCCCAGTGGGCTTATAGAGTGCAAACGCGCTTATATCCGTAATTTCATTATAAGCGCACCCTTGTTTAGAAAATCTATTCCATATAGGCGCATTGAATTACTATATCGAATCGCGAAACTCTGCGCCAAATCTCCCCCAGCACTCTCGCACCCCTCCCAAGCACCTCGCCAGTCAGATTCCTGTGTTTTCCGATCACTGCCTTGCCTATGATTGGTCCATACCTTGTCTTCCAAGCATAGTTGTGCTTGTTAAATTATATATGTTAGTATATGATTGTAGGCTTGGTAGTGGTTACTGAACATAACTGTAGAGGGTACAACACCCCTCCTTGTATCCCTCTCTCTTCTTTTCTAGTCCTCTTTTCTCTCACCAACTTTCCTACCCTAAAACCTCACGCCATTTCCGAGATGCCGCGGCGGCCTCTGTGTACTGTCGTCTCAGCGTCTACGAGCAGCCGCGGCCCCGACGCCACGCTGTGGTGGCGTCGTAGTGGTGCCGTGGCTGTGTCGTCGGCCTGTTGCCGTCGCGCACCACCTGCGTCGCTGCTGGGTTTGCAGCCCGCCCGCCCGCCAGTAAGCGCCGCGCCAGCAATAGCGCCGTGCTGAAGATCCGACGCCCCGCTCCTTCCCCCTTTCCTCTGTCCCCTCCTCTTCGCCACCGCCTGACTCTCGCCGGTCGTCCCCCTGTCGCGGAGTTTGGACACGCCACCGGAAGGGCGGGGGCCGCTGCCGTTACCGCCGTCGTAAGCCGAAGCCATCGCCGTCGCCGCAGTCGTCGCCGTAGGCTTGTTGCCGCCGCATGCCCGCCGTCGCTGTCGCTGTCGCTGCTGCCGGGACGGCTGCCGTCGCCATCTCCAGGGCCTTGGGGTTGGCCCTGCTTGAGTCGTCGTGGCTGATGGGAATGGGGGTGCTAGGTTAGGGGGTGTGGGGGTGTGTGGGTCCTTCTACTACCAAGCCTAGGGGGTGTGTTAAATTATACATGTTAGTATATAATTGTAGTCTTGGTAATGGTTACTGAACATTACTGTAGAGGGTACAACACCCCTCCTTGTATCCCTCTCTTTTCTTTTCTAGTCCTCTTTTCTCTCACCAACTTTCCTACCCTAAAACCTCACGCCATTTCCATGGCTCCTTCTCCTACTTAGATCCTAGTTTTAAGACAGTGCTGGCGAAACTTTCCCAAGATATTCCGCGCGATATTTCTGCGCGTCCCCTTTCGATAACTGTTGTATTGGAACCCAAATCAACCCACCTACATTTTGGTGTATTCAAATTATTTTTCCATATAGTCCATCGTATTCGCGCATGGGTTTATATTTTTTATTCGATTACAAGCGCATGCTGCTTTTTGAACCTAATCCCTATAAGCACATATGCGCCTATATCCAGGGGATTACGGTAGTATACTTGTTGACACACCCCCTAGCGAAAATAGTGACAGTTCATAACAAGGCAGAGTACAACAGGGCAGCTCTACTATCGTAGTCTTACCTCTAGTGAAAGCAACAAGGCAACGCAGTGCAGCACTGCTAGTCTGACCATTGAGACAAGAGGCCATAAGGCCAGTCAGCAAGTGTAACAAGACAGCCGGTATAGAGTAGCGAGTATGAAGAGATCACGATACAAGCAAGGGAGAAGCAACAGAGACTAGACCAAGCTGAGTACAGAACCGCTGATGGTCACGAGACGCAAGTGCCTTGGTGAAGATATCAGCGATGTTGGCCTCTGAGGCCAACTGTACCACACGAGCCAGACCGCGCTGTTGCAATTTACGCAGCAGGAAGTACCGCAGTTGGATGTGCTTCGGCCTGCCTTCAAATCCAGCTTCCTGACACTAGAGGATCATGGCCCTGTTATCAACAAACAGGACCGGGGCAGACCTAGGCTGCTCACCTAAGTCTATGAGCAAGAACGTCAACCACCGGAGCTCCTGAGCGGCCATGGCCCTAGCGTAGGTTTCTTGCCTTACAACTGGACTGAACCATAGATGACGACCTGGTGGACCTCTACGAGACTACACCAGCACCAAGACTAAAACAGTAGCCCTAAGAAGACCTAAGCATCTCCAAGTCGTCAGCCCACGACGCGCCTGTATGTCCAGTGAGCACCACTGGCTCCCCTCCTCCTAGCACAAGCCCCAGTCCTGATGTACTTGCCAGATACCACAGTACCGTCTTGGCAGCCGACCAGTGGACTGGTCGGTGCCTGTCTGTCGCAACAAAACGAGCCAGAAGACTAAGAGGGTACGCTAGATCTTGTCGAGTGCATGTCATCAGGTACATGAGGCATTCCACCAGCTCTGCCTATGGACCAGTAGCCTTGACCGGCTCAGCCGGAACAGGAGCAGAGAGCTTGTGATCCAAAGGTAGGGGTGTGGGCTATGCTAAGGAGAACTGAAGACTGAACCTCTTGAAAATCTGCCGCACCATATGGGAGTGGGAGAGTATGATTGTGCGAGCGGCATCATCACGAGAGATCTCCAAGCTCAGATAGCACCTCAGCCCCGCAGGTCTGTACAGGTGTGCCTCCTAAGCCTTCACAAAAGCCACTGCAACACTATCAGAAGTAGCAAAGATAAGATCGTCTACGTAGACTAAGATATAGAACGGTGTCTGACCCGAGCGAACAAAGAGTCCCAGGACTAGCATCCTCGGATTTACCAGCACCCCCAGAGTCAGCACCCCCAGAGACAACCCCCAGAGCCCACTGCTCCCTGCTGCTGCTGCGACCGTTGAGGCTGCTGCAGCGACGGCTGCTGCTGCTAAGGCTAGGGGGGAGGCGGCTGAGGTGGCTAGGGTACCGAGCCTGGGGGAGGCGCCACAGGGACAGCAGGCGCACCCCCAGCAGCTGAACACCCAGAGTCAGCCGACTCCCCCACGGGCCCAACCGAGGGGAACTGACTGGCGTGGGAGACACCAGACTCGGCGGGGCAGGGTGGGAGGGGTGCGGCAGGCGGGGAAGGGACAAAGAAGAGAGGAGGAGGAAGCACAAGTGCGTTGTGGTGCGGGAAGCGCTAGTAGTAGGGGAGTGTCTCGTCGAAGGTAACGTCACGAGAGTGATAGAAGCGGTGGTGTTACAGGTGGTAGAACAGCCAGTCAGGGGCGTCAAGTGGAAACTCCAAAAAGACACACGGAAGGGTGCGGGCTGAGAGCTTGTACGCGCGAGTGTCGCGGACGTGAGCAAGGCTGCCTCATATGTGGAACGCAGACGCGTCACCAGGAGACCCAGTCCACAGAAGGGTCGGCGAAACTTGTGGCCGCTGGGAGTGCGGCTACAGGTTAAACTGGTGAACAGCGTAGCGCACGGCGAACGGCCACAAAAAATGGGGTGCACCAACGTAGACCATAGAGGTGTGAGCTACCTCCATGACTAGGCTGATGCATCGCTCAGTGCCAAGTGGCTGGTAGGCGGAGACGGAAGTTGACTGAAGTGGCCCTTGCTTGAACGATGATAGACCCGCAGAAGCAAGGTTGAAGCTTGGATGGAAGATGGCTGATGTCGAAATTACGGTGTGGAAAACCGTAGTGATGAGTAGCCAGTTGCTTTTGCTGCTGCTGGATGTCCAAGTGGCGTGTCCGGTGTTAGAGCTCATGGACAACGGAGATCAAATGGATTTGTCGGGTGTTGTGGTATGAGCAGGTTGCATCTGTAGGTGGTACGCGAATGGCGTTGATCATGATCCAGATGTTGTAGCGGACGAGTAGATGTACTGTCCCTTCGGTGGGTGCTCTAGCTGGCACACTGTAGCATGTGTTGAGTCTCGGGTAGCACATTCCGGTGTTACGTGCATCCTGTCCACGTCTGAAGATCACCAAGTGGTGGTGGTATGGCAGTCGTGTCGTAGTACGGCTTCTGTAGCAGTGTTGTATCCGTTACATGCAGCTTCTGTCGAATGCTGGTCCATGCCATATTGTTGTCGCGAGTCGTATCCACTCGGCATCGTAGTGCTGCGGAATGGAGAGCAGAATCACTAGTAGTAACTCTGTCCACCACGCGGTCTGCTACTCACATTGCCTTGAGTACAACAGCGCATGCGAAGTGCTGCTCAGTGTATCCCTTGTGTTCAGAACCATGCGAGGGGTTGGTACCACAAACGCGGAGCTGGTAACTTCCAGAATCGGCGCCAAAGTAGTTTCCCTCGGTGGTTGCTCAAGCAAGGAATCTCAGCTGTGTAGATATCTCACGCTGATGGGTTAGGACATTTGGGAATGTTGGGGCTATTCCCAAATAATCCTCTCCCATTTCCAAATGGGCATTGGTGACAGCCAATCCAGTATGACCTTATGCGCTTCCAGTTTAGCACGGAGGCCATCGGTAGGCATCGGTGTCTGGGCGCACATATTGGGATAGGTCTTCTGGTGCCATCATGTGTTGTCTCATTCTGTCATTGTCCTTGAAGTAGCATTGAAGTCGAAGACGTCTCAGCTACTCAGCATCAGTGTTGAAGTCTGCTCCATTTTGGCAAACAGGGGTGTTGTTGGAGATACGCGGAGTCCACTGTCCGGAGTGGCGTCGGCGCTCCATTTTACGCCTATCTGCTTCCGTGGAGTTGGTGCTGGTGATGGATTGGTTGTGACGCAGGTTTTATGACTTTAAGGAAAGTCATAGGCCATGAGGACTTGTATACCGGTAGAGTACCGCGGTCCTCCCATCCTCATAAGAGCAAATATCTTCTGCTCTTGAGGGTATATGGCATTGCCATGATGTTCCCTCGCATAGTGGTATCTCCTTCCCACTAGCTGGAAATCATAGGACTGTGCCTGGCCGGGACTTTACGATCCACTGGAATATAATCCAGCATTATCTCCATTGAGCGGAGAATCATCCATCAGGGTTTGGATATGACTGTTGTGTCGAGTCTTCTTCTTCTGCGGCGGCGGCGGTTGCGACGACGGCGACGGCGGCAGCTGCTGCAGAGAATTCTCTTAACTCGTACCGGTTGAAGGA